TTATTTCTTATTAAAATTATAAATTTTAATATAGAGAGAAAATTTCAATTTTCACTATGTTTTATTAGTAAATTTAGTCTCTGAGTCATTACTTTTGATTATCATTATAGCTAAATTAATAATCAAAAAATATTTAGTAATTATCTATATGATAGTATATATTAATTAAATATATAATAATTATTTGTGTATTCAAAATAAAATTAATCTTTAAAATAAATAATATAAAAAATAAAATATAATACAAATAATACAAATAAAGATTTAAATATAATCTAATTAAAATTATTATATATTTTACTACTTAAAGTATAATATTCTTATTATATTTAAGTATATAAATTTTTAAAGACTTTTATCTTTTTTATAATATTTTTTAAGTTTTCAAGAGATTTTCAAGTAGTATTATAAAAAGAATATTCTAGTTATTTTAGTTATTTAATAAGATATTGAAATTCATAAAAATAAATTCTTTTGTTAAGAATATTTTCAACTTTATATTCTTCTTTATTATCTGAAATGATGATAACTGATAATGATATATATCTATTAAATTTATTATTTAGATTATATTTTTTTAATAATAAAATATGAAATATCAGATGTAATTTTATATTGACTGATAATTACAATTTGTAAATGACAGAAAATATTTTATTAATAATCTTAAAAAGTTCAATAAATTTTGATATAAGTTTCTTGATTGTTCTTTACTTATTTACAGAGTTATCTATATTATAAGTAAAGAGAAGAACTGAATTTTCAGTAATAAATTCTTTATATCTTCTGTATTAATTAATATATTTTAACTATCTATCTTGTGCTTATAGTAATAAATCTTTAGCAATTTTTATTATAATATTCCAATATTTCATAAATTCTTGAGAGATTATAATATTATTTTATGATAAGAGAATGGTAATTGAAATACAAGATGTTTATCCATAATCTAATTCAAATAATATATCCAGTAAAATATTTTTGCTATTATTATAAGCAAATTTAGCAGTTCAACCCTCTTAATTAAATATCATTTTTAATATATCTTTAATTCGAAACTATTTGAATAGTTTAGGTGTCCAATTCTGGCGGGAAGCACTTTTTAGAGAAACTAGTGTTGTCAATATAAAGATTCATTTATCGCCAGCCTTAAAGGAAGATTAATAAAAGATATTCTAACGGTGTGAATAATGACTATGGATCTGAGCATTCCACTCACTTTCCATGAAAATTATGGTTATGTTTATTTACCATTTTAGTTTATATTATTTATTAGTTTTGCTCGCAAGCGCGCTAGTAAATTAGTGGTTGGATAACGATATATTAGTTGATCCAAGAAGCGAAACAGGTCATCAGATCAAGAAATCAGTTCGATTTTAAGTGCACCTTCTCGAGAAAATTTTGGCATATGGGTTAGTTAATGTGCTTTTTACATATGTTAATGTCATGGATTAATTGAATGTTTGCATTGCCGCTGCCAATGAGGCTAGTTGTTTTATTCTCTCCAGGATATCGAACAAAAAGAAATGGGCCGATGAAATCAATATTTTGATTGTGGTTCCACCAAGGATGTAAAGGTTTTATTTTTGTATTGCTAAGTAATAAAGTTGTCTCATGATGGTTTGTGGGACAATGTCTCGAAATGATTTTGATAATAATATCACTCACAATCAAATCACATGGTTTGTCATTTAGCGATTATTTATTAATTTCTAGCTAAAGATCAACTTTTGCTAAGCTTTTAAATTATATACTATTTAATATAAAAGTAAATATTGTAAACATTCTAAAGAGGAAATTTATATAATTATTGTCTTTAATTTAATTTATTCAACGACACTACTTCCGTCCCCTTCATTTCCTTCTTTTTTATCAAGATAATTTGCCGCGGAAATGATAGCGGCCACGTGAGCGGAAAAACAATTCTGCATAAACTTTTGTTCTATATCACGTGCGTTCAGCCTGAATGGCCCTTTCATGAGCACAGACGGCGACACAGTTTTGGTGAAAGGAGTGTATGCAAAGCTTTTGGCATCCCACTTTTCGGTGATTGGTGGACGCTCAGGGAACGAGGCAATCTGTCTGGCGTTGAGCTTTTGTTGCTTTGTGCCCTTTCGGGTTGGTCGATTGCTATTAGTGTTGTGAAGTAAAGAATATTTTTCTTGGAGACGTGAAGAGTAAGGTTTATTTTGCCAAGTGGTAAACGGCGACGACGACGATCTCGTTTTATGATGACTATAGTATTCTTCTTCTTCTTCGCTTGTCGAATCGTTATAGATACGAGACTTTGCGCCAGGTTTTTGTGATCGGGTGAATACGCGTGTTGACCGCAAGGCAATTGCTTCCTCGGTTAATATATCGGCAGGCAAGTCGAACTCAACCGGAGATGGGAAGAGTTTGTCAAAGTCTGGTAACGAAATACGAAACTTTGAGGTTTTAGTGTTATCGTCGAAGGTGGCGGTGACCGGAACATGGTTATTAACAGTAGCCAGTGAAGTAGAAGTTTCCATTTTTTTTAGTTTTTACAGATATCTATTTCTTTTTGTGGGTAGATAAAAGATAATTTCAATCTAAATAATATGTATAGAGTTCAGTATCAAGATGAAATAATCAAGTTTAATAATAGTATCGTTATGATGTAATAAAGTGCACACACTTTATACTCACTTCGAGTTCAGCAGATGTGCGGAAGGATATGTTGTGTGTGTTGGTATGTTTGTAGGTGGTGTGCTTATTTATATAGATGATCTTCATGCTGCGAGAATTGTCATCAAATATCTGTTATAGTACTCGATAATAACAAAAATAATGAAGTGGTTTGGTGAGTAGTCGTGGTAGTGGGTAATGTCTGTTTGATTGTTTTTCTTCTGTCTGTCTGTCTGATATTTATTTTACGTGATACTGCAAGAATCGAGTTAAAAAAAAAAAATAAAACGAGCGAGATAATTTTGGTATCTTCAAAGGAAAAATAATAGTAGAACGCAAAAACAATTATAGCGACAACAAAGGACCACTTGTAAGCGAAGAAATATTAAAGAGGTAGCGGTGAACTCTTATCAGAAAGTTTGTTTCTTTCATGTAAAGTACTATGCAAAATATCCTACGGAATTTGGTATCTAGATATAGATATTAGATATGGATATGGATATATATGTATCTATATCTCTATATCTATATCTATAGTTTCAGTAATATGTGTGGTTAGTTGTGTCTCTGCCATACCCCACCACCCACCGGGTAGGGAGTGAGCACATACAAGAATACTTGTGAAATGAGCCGGAGGTGTGTTTTACAGCAACAATAATTATTAGACGGTAAAAACACATAAATAATCTCAATTCATTATACCGCTCCACTCAATATCCGTGTTTATACAAATGAAATATAGATTTTTGACCGAGACCAGCGGCCAAAAAAAACATTACAATAAAAAGGAATGTAAAGATTTTTTTTTCAAAAACGAATAATTAGATACTACTTTCTCTCTCTCTCGTGTGTGTGTGTGTGTGTGTGTGTATGTGTGTGTGTATGTATGTGTATAAGTATTTAATGTTCAAAATATGCATATACATTTTGGAATTATATGTGCGTGTGCTGATGAGAACTATTAATCTAACAAATAAAGTGAAAGAAACAAGAACTTCTAGAAATACTCTAAAATTATAACTTAGTAGAAATAGGAATGAATGAACAAGTAATAAGAAAAGAATGAATATAGTAATAAAAAGATGCAGCATAATATTAACTTTCAATATCTCTCTCTACATGCAGTTTAATGATTAATTTATTAATTGGGCAAAAAAAGGTGCATTTTGGAAAGCAAATAATAGATTTTTGTGTATGAATGATTCATTATAGGAGTTATTGGAAAGGATAAGGATGAGTGACAACGATGGTAAACCTTTTTGGAAAATTTTTTATATATGCGTGATTATGAAAAGAAACAATACTATACAGAAAAGAAACCAAAAATGCAAGATTGAATAAAAATTGTCGATATATTATTGAGATAGATGCATGTAGCTGATGTTACCATCATCACCATCAACTACAAGCAAGTGTTCTGCGATCTCGGCATATCTCGCGTATATGTCTTAACCGACAGACACCGATCACCACCACCACCACCCAACCCCACCCGCACACGTTTTATGTACACTTACACCAAAAGTTTCAACTGAATATATGAAATCGTCATGACAAAATTTTCATCCGTAATAGCCGCCTTGTCTATTAGATGATCTTCCTCTACTTCGTGATGCAGCAACATCATTAGTTCCAGAATACATTCCATATCCATTATTATCGTAGTTATCCTGAGAATATCCACGAGAAATAGGATTTGGACTAAGACTTCTCGCTCTGTTCGTAGTATTATCATCATAATATTGCCCTGTTCGAAGTTGGGCATACTGATCTTTTTGTGATCTACTGCTACGTGGTTGAGCTTGTAGATATGATGATGATGATGAACTATTGCTTTCATATTGTTGTTTGGTGTTACCTCGCTCCGTATAACGTCCGGAATCGTAACTATTTGGTAAAGATGACGTATTTCCATTTGATTGATATCCCATACGATTCGGCACTGCAATTGGTTTTGCCGGAGTTGAAGATGATTCAGATTCCCACAATCTAGGTTTTCTGGTTGTACTATTATTACTATTAATTTGTACTGAATTTCCATAACCATTGTTAATCCCACTACCATTAACATTACTGTTGTTACTACTATTGCTGTTATTATTACTAGCCCCAGCAGATGCATAAATATCTTTAAACGATCTCTTTGGATAAGATTGCTCCTCTTCATTCTTCTCTATTGAACCTCTTTGCGAGGAATTTGGAGATGCAACTTTATCAGAACTCTTTCCAGACAATAATTCCCGTTTTCTTGGTCGAGAGTCTTCTTTACTATATAGCCAATCAGGAAGTTCATCGGATTTCTTTTCATGATATTCACGAAGAATTCGCGAGATATGAGTTTCACCTTCCCATCCTTCTTTCTCGGATTCTTTTTTTTTTTTTTTTTTGCGAGGGAATAATGTCGATTCATTAGTTTATTTCTTATTGTAGCCGGTGATTTAATTATGGTCACACTCACCATTGTCTGAATCCGCAGTCATATTAGCTTTAAGTGTGGACGTAGCACTCAACAGTTTATCCCAGAGTTTCGCTCCTTGGGATCCTTGTGAAGAAGGAACAGCGCCTAAATTTCACAATAGAAAAAAAATTCAATACAAGTAAATCAAGAAAAAAAACCAACCATTCTGAGGGAATTCGTCAATGATAAGCAAGATCTTTTCAGGTATTGAGCGTACCTTCACCGACGTCTTTCCAATTACGGACATTTCTCAATTTGTTCCATAATCCATCATGAGAATCTCCTGTTAATCCCGCACTAGTATTTACAGAGTTCTGCGTTCCAGAACTTGTATTATTTGCAGATAACTTGCCTTCACTCTTTGCAGCTTTCAATCTTGCCCAGCCATTTGTAGCTCCCCCACTACTAGACGACGATGAAGAACCGGCTAAAACTTTTTTGGGTATTGGGGGTACCACCAGTGCATCTGGGGACGGAGTGCCACATTTGTGTCTTGCTGGATAAAGACCAACATCATGTCCACAATCCTTGCAAAGAACAACGAGTCTAGAGACGCGGTAATCGATCACTTCGGCAACCATCTGTTTATTGAGGAGGTTTTTTTAATATACGCGTGTCAAACGGATTATTGGACGAAAGTGTATGTAAAGTTACTTGGAAGTAAGCTTTAATTTCGGATCAGGTTAATCAGTCTAGAATAGGGGTTTGATGAGAAAATGATTTATGAAAAAGAAAGGAGGAAATATTATTCTATAAGGTAAAAAAAAAAAAATGCTCTAAAATATATCGAGAAGGAAGCAAGTCTATTATTATGTAACAAGTTGTTGGTCCAGCAACGACACAAACTTTTAATTTTATGCGTTTCAGTTGGTGAAGTGATAGCAAATAGAGATAAATAATAAAGGGAAACGGAGACACACACACAAAAGAATAAGCAACTAATAAACAATTTTTTCATTGTTTGCATATAGTAGGAAATCAACCGGAACGTTATGCCGGTTATTTACATCGTTTTGATTTTTTTCTCTGATTGGACGCATAGACCAACCAGTAAAGAAAGATACTCAATTACATTAGAATTTTCCGAAGGCGTATTGTCGGGAAACAATCTACGATAATCTTTTAACCTCTCATGTTAGTTAAATCGATCCTTAACCAATCAGAGCTTGGAGGGAAATTCCGTAACGTCTAATGACATCATTCACGATCTCTTGTCCGATTCGTTAGAAGAATCTCTTATATATAAGTATTGAAATATTCCCTCACAAATAACAGTGACAGTTTCAGTTTCCTGAATAATGACAACCAACTACCCCGCACCACCGCCAAGTTACAGTGAAAATCCTAACCCACGCGAGCCTTTACTAGGCAGTGAATGGGAAAACGATGTCCCAGACGACTTTAAATATGGTGTTTCCGTCATGCAATGTGATGCTTCTATTCGTAATGGTGAGCTTCGTTGTCATATATAATATAGAATTAAAATGGATTTATTCTCTTACTAATTTCTGACTGAATGAACTATTACAAAAGCTTTTGTAAGCAAGGTCTATTCTATCTTGGGTTTTCAGTTGCTCTTCTCTATCATCGCAGGTGCTTTATTCATGTATAATGAAGGTGTGAAGGATTGGGTTCAAGAAAAGTAATGCGATTTTTTTTTTATTTCTGATTTCATTTTAAACGTACATACAAGAATTCTAATACCTAAATATAATACACGTCAAAAGCCAATGGCTTATGTGGGTATCAATGGGTGGATCCTTTGTGTCACTTTTTGCGTTGTATTGGAAAAGTCGCTCGTACCCAACAAACTACGTCTTGTTGGGCGTGTTTACTTTCTGTGAAAGTTATATGATTGGAGCGGCTTGTAAGTTTGGTTTATAGTTAATTGGATTAGTTAGTAAAGAAGATAACTTATTTTCTGATTATGGACGATATTTATTATTTTTTACAGTGACTGTTTTCGAAAAAGCGATGGTTTTGCAGGCATTGATTATCACTTTTGGAATCTTTGCTGGCCTGACATTATTTACAATGCAATCAAAATATGACTTCAGTGGCATGGGACCTTTGTAAGCAAATTTTATATGTACCATTCATTTCATGATGTTTATCTTTCTATACTTAACACAATACTTTCACTCCCAAAAAATAGCCTTCTTGGAGGCCTCCTACTATTCATATTCATCGGCCTAGTTCAGTTGTTTATCCCATTCTCGCGCATACTCGACTTGATCATGGCAGTCGGTATAGCAATCCTGTTCTGCGGGTTCATCATTTACGACACGTATAATCTGATGAACACGCTTAGTCCTGAGGACTACGTCATTGCGTCGATTAGTCTTTACCTCGATTTCATTAATCTGTTCCTTGCCATCTTGAGGATCTTGAATGACGTGAGTCGCGACTAGTTATACATGATAAAATAACTATGTTGATGATGATCAACGGAGAATTATTGTATAGTAATCCTAATAATATAATATTTGCTAAATTCATTTATTTTTAAATACATTTATTTTTAAATATATATATATCTCTCTCTCTTGTAAGTGAATAAATTGTAATTTTTCCCAATCATGGGGGGAGGGGGTTGAGTGATTTTCTGTCGATCTTTAATTTTTGCCATGATATTTTGAACTGTGAACTTCTATATTCGCAAGGATCGAGAAAAAAATGATGCAAAATTCTCGAAACCATCTTATAATACTTATTCCTTTTCTATTATTACTCGTGTTTAATGTACAGGGTTTATATGAAAATGAGGCGGGAATTAATGACTGGTAACACTTCTTGTTTCTACTTTTAAAAAAAATTTTGGCGTTGTGACACTTTTTTTTTCCTTGCAGGCATAATAAATTTGTCGGTACTCCCAAACTTTCATTATTTCACAAGTCGTCTCGAGAGCCTTCTATCATAGTAGCGACTGATCGTAACGTGCTTGCTTCTTTGAGTGCACGCAACGGGAGTGTTGGTTAGTAGGCTCTTTTAGGGATTTTCATTTCATAGATTTTAGTTTAGCGAAACTCAAAGCCAAGGTGAAGTCAATCTAAAAGCTTCAGATAGTCAGCATAAAAGATTGATCTAATTCATTATAATGAAAAGTTGTTGGCACTAGGAGTCAAACATTGATATGGGATACGCTTTCAGAGAATCTATATTTTAGTGGAACAGAGAATTCAATCAATTCATTATTCTAATCACTTGGATCTACGCATTAATTGATAGAATGGCGTCATGTCTTTGACAATAATGAACCAATATTTATGTTAAAATCTTATGGAGCAAGTTAAGCATATGTCTCATTAATTCAGCTTTTTGATAAAGCGATTTTATCTGACTAATCGCTGTCATCTGTTGAATTTATAGACACTGTGTCAATATCAAATAAGGATGGGTATAATATTATTCGTTATTGGGATACAGAATCAGGATTCTTGTTATGGGAACACAAAGTAGCTGAGAAGACAGGAAGCAGTAATAACAATAGCAATGATGTGTGGCCTACAATAGATATTTTGTTTGCTGTCGATAAATCTGGAATTTTTGTTCTTCTGGACGGTTCTGATATTTTGAAATTATCGATCAACGATGGCCAGCAGCTTTGGAAAACAACAATTAACGAAAACAAGTAAATTATTCAATAATCATCACATGTTAGCTAGATGTACATCGTATTACTTATTAATTGTGCCGATTAATCTCACTCGAACAGTTCAAAAACCATCACATTTATTCGAATAGTGCAATATGGTGCAGCACTTCAAGCGGTAGGACTCATAACAACTAATAACAAATCATACGCCATCGAGGTCATTACATTAGATGCGATCATTGGTGACATTCTGAAAAAGATTACTCTATCTTCCAAAGTTGAAGACGCCAAAGATGTAATTGTTCTTGGTGGAGAAACAAATAGTGGATTTGTTGTTTGGAAGGAGGAGCCGAACATGCGTGTTAATCGATTAGGAACAAAAGATATTGATGGTGCTCCATTGAAGGTATGTATATACGTTTTGATTTACACATGTATTAAGTTACGTATTCATTTGATTACTCTTTTTTTTTGTTTTTTTAACTTAGTTTTATTTTTTAAATTAGGCGCTTTACGGAAATGTTATTAATTCTTTTTCTAACGCTAATGGTCCTCTTGAAATAATAAATCTTAATTTGGGTCCACGAACAGAGTTCTTGTGTCAGGTACCAACAAAAATTGGTACCGCCGCCGCTGTTTTCAAAATTGATCCTGAGGGAGGTCGATTAGCAGTTCTTTATGATCTTGAAGATAGGGTAATCTTACATATTTGAATTTTGGTTTAGATCTTCATTTTCTATAAATTTGAATAATTTTTATCTTCTTTCAATAAGCCTGGTAAATCCATATATTCGGCAACTATTGACAAAACTGAGCGGCTTATTGTGTCACGAAGTTTAACATTATCTAAAGTATTATTTTTTCTTTAAAATTTCCTCGCATTGAGTGCTTATGTGATATTGAGATCATTAATATTTCAGGACAGCGTTAAGGTTGAAATTGTTGCGCCTGCATCCAGAACGATTCTAGCAACTCATGAAATCCCTCATTTATTATCCGAATCTGGAACTATTCAAAAAGTAACGATCATGCAAAATTATTATAATATTTTAACATAAAAAAGAAGCGTGCTGACTCCATCTCTTTATTAATAGTCTATTTTAAATGTCATCAATCGTCAAAAAGAGATGGTAACTTATCGAATATTAATATTATCGTCTGATGGATCCTTGTATTTTTGGAAGGATGGAACAGTTTCTTGGAGACGTGAAGAATCACTTGCGCATGCAATTCAAGCGGAATATCTTGATTTGCCTGAACGGAAATTATGGTCTCAGGAAATTGATGAACTTGGTTTGTATTCATTGAGCAAATGCCTCAATATAAATGTTTTTTTATCTATTTATCGATTTTCGATTTATATAATTTATTTTTTACTTAATTAAAGCTGAACAAGCAGAAGATTCTGAAACAATATCACCATTTCAACGTTACATCCGACGTCTTATAACTCATTTGTATCAACTTCAAGTAATTTTATTTCATCATATGATCGTTTTTATTTTTTTTAGCTCGTTCCTCATTTCATTGTTATATATCTTAGGATCTATTTTCATATATCGCCACATATATAAATCATTTTGTCACGGGAGATTATTCCTCACCTTCTCCATTCACATCTTCACATGATAAAAATCAACAAGGTCTTTATCGCGACACGTTTGGTTTTCGGAAATTATTAATTTTTGTGACACCCAAAAAGTTGGTAGCATTGAATACAGCAAATAAAGGAGAAGTGGTTTGGTCTCGATATTTTGGTGATTATGTCACTGATCTCACTCAAATTTTTATTGTTCGTACCGCGATGATAAAGTATCCTCCTGTGCTTGTTGCTATTGGAATGGAAAGCGAGTTAAATGCAAGTATATCCCCTATTTAAATAATAAAATTTTAAGATTATTATTAATTTTCCGTTAAGTCATATTTATTTCGAGTTCCTAATCATTTCTTTTTTAGACCACACCAATCACTCGTCTCTTTCGCATAAATGCTATAACCGGAAAGGACTTTGTTCCCGATAATAATAATAATAATGATTTGTCGTCCGATATCAAACTTTCTTACATCCCTCAAGAAATTTATAAACTTCCAATCGAAGAACCGGAAGAGCGAACCCATGTTCTCGCACTTGTTGATAAAGAGTTGAAGGTATAAACTTATTTTCAAGATGTAAACTTAATCGTGACGATAGTTAATAAAGCCTTGTTTATCTTATAATTATCCAGGTTTATCTTTATCCAGAAACTTTGGGAGCTGTTAAAGCGTTCAAGGATTTCGCATTATCATCGCCATTTTATTTCACTCTTATTGATGCTATCGGTGGGAAACATTTGGCTGGATATCGTGTTGAATTGTTACAAAGCAACTATACTGTAAGTTCTTATGGCAACACTTTTTTTTGATTTATTATATATAATATGTGCAATATATTTAATTCGCCAATTAATTTAGCTACCTTTTGAGAGTAACCTCTTATGGGCTATTAGTTTCCCTGATGATGAACGCATTGCTGCAATAGCCAAACGAAATCCTCATGGTATATATATAATATTTAATGATCAATCACATTTTCGGATTCTCTCAATTTATGCATCTTTATCTTTTCAGAGAAAGTTGCTTCGCTTGGTCGAGTTTTGGGTGATCGCTCAGTCCTCTACAAATATCTCAATCCACATCTTGTCGCAATAGCAACAATTACAAGTACTAAAGACATGATATCCTCGCTAAACTTATATTTAATCGATGTTGTGAAAGGCACAATTTTGTATCACTCTGTACACGAAAATGTTGGATCATCATACCCAGTTCATATCATACAAATTGAGAATTATATTTTGTATTATTTCTGGAGTGAAGGTGAAGAGGGAACATCTTCTACGGAAAAAGGATTTGTAACCGTTGTTTTTGATTTGTATGAAAGTGCGAATAAAGACGTAAGGGTAGACAGGTAAATGTTATTTACACATAGGTATTATACTTGATTAATAACTCTAATCTATCTGCTCTTTTTTTTTTAGCTCAATATTCTCCTCATTTGCACATGAACGCCCCTATGTCAGTGCCCAATCATTCATTCTCCCATACGCTGTGAAAGCATTGGGCGTGACAACAACAAAACATGGGATTGCAACACGAGAATTTTTATGTGTGTATTATTCCATACGTCACTACTTTATTTTTCATGTTCATGTGTTCTCTAATCATTTGACATTCATTATTATAGTTGCACTTGAAAGTGATCAATTATATGGATTGTTGAAACGTTTCCTTGATCCACGAAGACCATTAGGACCACTCACCAACGAAGATAAAGAAGAAATGCTTATTCCCTATGAACCCGTGTTACCAGATAGCAAACAGCTGTATTTGAGTTATAATCTAACGGTGGATAAAACTAATTTTTTTCCGACAAATTGGAAACAATTCTTCTAATTATTTATTTGTTTATGATTAATAGATTGCCGGCATTCAACACATAATAACCAACCCTTCTTTATTAGAATCAACATCTTTAGTATTAGCCTATGGGCTCGACATATTTTTCACACGTGTAGCTCCCTCGAAAACTTTTGACGTGTTGAGTGAAGATTTTAGCAAGAGTACTCTGTTGACCACCATTTTTGGATTAATATTAGGGATTGTTATCACACGTCCTATGGTGAGCTTTGCTTTTTTAATTTATTTTTTCTGCTAGCAACAATTTCTTTTAACTTACTTATTAATATAAATAGGTTCGTCGAAAGAATGTCAATGCTAGATGGTACTAAAATTCATAAAAAATTTAATGACTCGTATATGAATTTTATCTTTATTAATTATGTATTTTGAGTATCATTCAAAAAAACGCATTTTCATCATCGCATTAATTTAATAAAACTTAAAAGCTTGGAATTCACTTTTTTCTGTTAAAGTATTTATATTTACAATGTTGTAGTTTCTATTTTTTTCCCACATAACAGCAAGCTGGCGCAGAAATAAAATTCACATACTATTGTAGTATAATTTATTTGACATGTTTCCGTTTATTAGGTCTAGAATTCTTTGCATGTTTCTTTTGCTTGATTTGTCGTTGCTTCCTAATCTGATCAACGGTCTTTAGTTCACTCCTTACGCCACGCATAGGAATATTCGGCGGTTTAATATTATGAGATTTTTTCTTTCCGTCATTATCTTCATCGTCGTTATTATTATGAACATTGGATTTTTGCATTTTTTTCAATTTCTTTGAATAATTTTTCGACAAAGGATCCAATGGCTTAGGCACTGTGATTTTGTTATGTCGGAATCGCTTCGCATCCACTTTTACGGTGCTAAGTTCTCGTTCTCCAGTTCGTGGTATCTCGAGTTTGTTTTGTTGTTGCCATTCTTTGAATCTTTCGAGTGAATGGTTAAATATGATGATTATTATGTACGCGGAATCTAACAGTAAAACAACAAATCAAAAATATAAACATACCTTCCACTCTTATAAGTAGCCGGAATCCGAATCCCACTCTCAGTCTTTATCAATTTTTTATTGTCCGCGCCAATTCCCAGCCCGCGGACAAAGTTTTTCTTCTTAGCGTCCCATCTATACGCGTTCTTTCTGTCTCGTATGGTGGATTTTTCATCGCCCTGTGGATCCAAAATAGCTTTTTGCGCTTGTTCTGCAAAAGAGGTGCCTTGTGTCATAGAGTACCTAATTAACCATAAAGATGTTTTATTATATAACAAATGTTGTATACAGACATAAACAGGAGAGTACGCATTTTATGCAAAATACCCTTTTTCAGTATTCGCGTCATTTTGGAAATGCGGAATATAATATTCCTCATCTCGATAATTGTCCTTTTTTTGTTTTTTCGAGGCTGTTAATTATTAATGTGATAATAGGTTTCAAATATACTTTCTGAGTTAACAAAAGATAATATGTTTGAATTAGGTACCATTTGAGTTCGCAGTATCTTTCGCTTTTCGTTTGTTATTATTACTATTATCTTCTAAATTGGATTTCGAGTCCTTGAAAAAATAAAATAAAATAAAGTAATTGAAAAGATGAGTAGAAAAATATGCTCTGTTGGTATTACCATTAATTTAATAATTCCACTTTTAATCTCGTCTTTCTTTTCTTTATTATTGTCATCATCAGAAGCGTTTAGTTGTGTTTGTTTGATATTATTTTTTTCTTGAGACGTCTTAAAAGTTTCGATAGTTTTACTGACTACGTCACGTCGTTGCTTCATAACTAATCCCGCTACTGAAGCTTTTTTAATTCCGCGATTACCTATCTCGAATATTGTCTTTTTTTGACCGTGTAAAATTAAAATGTGAAGATTGGAATATTTAATATACAACTTTTGGTAATTCATAAGATAATTAATTCAATACCTCATTAGGACGGAAATTTGTGATTGAATTTATTAGATTCAGCCGTTCTTTTTCCTTGATATTTATCTTATCGGCTAATAATAGACAGCAAAAGTCCTTAATAATCTATCAGAAAAAGAAAAACAATAACAACGATAAAAATTAAAATATAATAACCAACCAAACAAAGGATGCAAATTATTAAAAATATCATCCGTCAATTCTTTTTTTGATCTATTATAACTTTCGGACGCGGCAGATGATCTGGACTTTGAGTATTGTTTGTACCCGTTATTCGCTACATTCTTTAATGTCTCGAGATTACTATTCTCTATGAGTTTACTCTTTACCCATTCGATGTTCGAGTCAATATTGTCTCTGGGTAAACCTCCGATTACTATCTCTGAAGCGTAATTGGGTTCATTGCTGCCGCTGCCAACCAATTGAGATCCAATTACTAGGGGTCGACTAAGAAAAAGTTGAAGATCCAAAAGATGCGGAAACTAAAAAGAAAAAAACAATTTTATATGTCATTAAATTATCAGAATATAAATTAATAAAATTATTCATAGTTAAAAACCCACCTCTTCAGGGGTTACTAGAGAATAAGCCCATCCAGGCCTTCCAGCTCTCGCTGTTCTTCCCACACGATGCACAAAAATTTTACTCCCATCCACAAAATCATAATTGATCACATTCTCCAAAATCGGGATATCGATACCACGCGCCGCGACATCCGTCACAATCAACAAATTTGTCATGCCGTCCCGAAAACGCGATATTTGTATTTTACGCGCGGTCTGATCGAGTGATCCGTAGATATATGATGCTGCGTAGCCGGCTTCGAGTAAGAGATTAGCGAGATATTCAACGTGATGTTTTGTCGCTACGAAAATTATTGTTTGGTGTTGTGTAAGTGGAGGATTGCTTTGATGATTATTATTATTTGCCGATTGCTTTTTCTTTTTGGAGGGATTTGTGACATCATGAATTAAAGAGGAGGAAGGAGGAGGAAGGTTGAGGTTTGTGGATTTTGGAACTTTGATGATCTCTTGAAGTATGAAAAAAAGTGTTGCTTCCTTCTCTGTTGGTTTTACTGCAAAAAACGCCATCTAATACAATAAATACAAGAATCAGATATAGTTAATGGAATATGTATATAAGCTAGAAAAGAAAGATATCAAACCTGAAGATCCGAGCTAATCTTCGACTCTACATCTAATCTGATTAATGTCGGATCTTGTAATCCAGCCTTTGCAAAATCAACCAAAGTTTTCGGAAGCGTCGCGGAAAACAATAGTGTCTGTCGCGAAGCAGGTAATCGATGTAGAATCTCGTGCAGTTGGACCGAGAATCCCATTTCGAATAGTCTATTTTAAATTCTATATCAATTACCATTTGAATTGACGATATTGAATTCATGAAAGTGAACTCATACCGGTCAGCTTCATCGAACACAATATATTCTACTGTGCCAAGATCCATATCCATCTCTACAATTAAATGTAATAAGCGTCCTGGAGTAGCGATTATACTTTACAAAATCACCGAAAAAAAATATTATTAAAATTTGTTTTTATAAGTACACATAAATAAATACACCAAGCATTGGCTATGTTATGTACACGAACAAAATAACGTGAAATAAAATACATACATGTCAGGATTGTTAGCAATCATTACAAACTGATCTTCCAAACTATCGCCACCGACTAAAATACACGTTCGTAAATCGGTGTACTTTGCAAGTTCGATGCACACTTTTTGTGTCTGTAGAGCGAGCTCGCGTGACGGCGATAATATGATTGCACGAGCACCGACCTAATAATTATCGATTTTATATATATGTTCAACATAAGTTTTCGAACAATCAAAAAAGAATAAATTCACACGTTGATCACTAATTAAATATTTTTTAGTTTTTAGCTAATTAGATGGTTGCTATATTATACCTTTGCAGAATGTGCCTTCAATTTCTCCAACATCGGGATCAGAAATGCCGCAGTTTTGCCAGACCCTGTACGTGCCATTCCTACCACATCATTTCCGTCCATGATTAACGGGATTGTTTTTCGTTGTATTGGTGTTGGCACTTTATATCCTTTGTGGAGTATGGCTTTAAATACCGGGTAGCTCAGTCCTTTATTTTAGTATTTTGATGTTATTAGTGCATTATTCATGATCTTTACAAAATAATAAGGTTTTCAATACGATTAAGATCAAAATTAAATCAAACGCGAAATAGCACATAATATAATATGTCAAAATTCGTAGAAAAAATCTATTGTCTTTTTATTTATTTATTGTTTGAAATAAAGATAAACGAATAAAATACATTTAATATTAAATGAAACAAGATAACAATAAATAACCCACCCATTGACTGAAACCCCCCTGACTTTTTTTTCTTTCTATTAACAGCTTGCACCTGCTTCGAAATAAAAAGTGCATCGCTGTCGCTTTCATTATCGTCGTTGTCTTTATTATATAAAAAAGACGAGATATCTATTTCACTGGTTTCCCCTTCTTCAATTTCCGTTCTTGTTTCCATTGCAGAAACGTGCTGTAGACCGGAAGTTTTTCATATATTTCTTGTAGGACGAAATGTTTCCTATTTCGGCTATATATTGATTATTTACAAATGCACAAATGCTTTATTGCTATTTATTTGTTTAGGTCTTTACCGGCGGGACTAGTTTCTAAACCAACTTTCGTTAGAATCTTTTCAACATAGATAAAAAATTATTCCACTATCATACATTCATTTCATAGAAGGTGTAAAATATAAAGAACAGCACAAATCAATTTTCACCTGAAAAACGGTAAAAATGTCTCAAGCAGGAGGAGCTGCGTCTCTCGTAACCCAAGCGGTGCCCATGCAAGCACCACAAATGCCGGAACCCGGCTATCCCTCGAAGCTAACGCTCGAGCTCCGGGGGCAACGATTCGAAATAGATCGTGAAATGTTGATGAGTCTTCCCGAGAGCATCTTGATTGTAATGTTTCCGAATGGTTTGATACTAGGTAGAGGTGGTGCAGGTCTTGACCCGTATGAGGAGGACGAAGAGCCCGGGGACGACACGTCAGACGATTCGATCCTGTTGGAGGACCAAACGATATATGTGGACTTTGACCCACAGTGTTTGGAATATATCTTGAATTTTTATCGGAAAGCTCAGGATGCTTTTTATTCAAACCAAGGGAGTTCCATGTCCACGTTTCCATCTAATCCGACGCAGAATCCATTGTTAAATAAACAGGCGATTATTGTATTGCGTGAAGAATTAGACTATTTCACTATTCCACCCAAGAAAACTGATGTAGCAGATGGATCATCAACTACCGTCACTGCTGCTTCCAAAACAGTAACAGAATCATTAGCTTTTAATAAATTGAAAATAGATTGTGGCGAGTACCTACTAAATCAACGAAAGATATTCACCGCGCTCCAACGAAACGTCAATAAAGAGAACAATGTTGCGGAGCAACATTTGATCGATATGCTTTGCGTGTCTGGATTTTCGCGAGATGATGAATGGGGCTATCGAAACACTGAGCCGCAAAAAACCAGTATTGTGAGTATCGCTTTGGTGATGCTGAAGACTACCGGACAGAGTAATCAGATGGCTACGGCGCAAAAGCTGCTGTTGTTTTGGAGGAAGCCGGCGGTATGTATCTTTTTGGCTATTGATTATATTTTTATATAGAAATTTATTGAACAATAAAAGATAAATATTAATGTTTTTTTATTATATAGAGGAAATGTTGGTGGGATGGATTAGAAGTCAATCTTGGTGATAGGAATATACCAGTCAGTCTTTGGTGTAGACGCACTTGGACTTTGGAATTGGCTTTAGTTTAAATAATTAAAAGAACAAGAAATTCACTTTTTTTTGAAATTTTATGTACAATAATTTCTTTTTCTTTACTTTCTCTTTTTCTTTTTATGTATCTTGGGAAGATACAATTTTTGTTTCCATTTTTTTTCTTTTTTGATATCATATTTTACCATCCGCCATCATCGTATCCAATCTTAATTAATTCTTCGATTAATTCTCCGCTCCTTAATTTTTGGTTTCAATAGTCTCTGTATTTTTCTATCTTACTTGCATCCGTCATATTTGCGCATACATATAATGTATACAACGAAATAATCACTTTTTTTTGTAATACTAATAATAATTTATTTACATTATACATTATAAAGAATAAATTATGTTAACAAATATTCAATAATAATATTCTAAAGATAATTGTTATTATTCTCGTTCTCAAATAAATTTATTAATATTCTAAAGATAATTGTTATTATTCTCGTTCTCAAATAAATTTATTAAAGTCTCCTCCACCTGTTTAATTCGCCTTACTAACGAAGTAGCGTTATACGGAAACAAATGTTTAGACATTAAAGATTCGATAACTTGCCGTAGGTTCACAAACATGTTCAAGAATTTGACGAGTATTTTTTGCTGAGGTGATGATAATTCAATTTCCATCTCGATATTTGATTCCGCATCAATATCGTCGTCCTTCTTTTCTCCTTGTTCATCTTTATCATTCTCCCTTTCATCATCTTGATCATTCTCTTCCTCCACGCCTTCGCCATCTCCAACTTGCTCCACGAATCTCCGAAAATACTTGATGAATCCTTCCACATCGCACACCAAATACTTACAATAAACAATAAAAAATTCCAAAAACTGTGTTTCATCGGAAATCAAAAAATCTAATAGCACAGAATGATCGAAACTGAGATCGCATGTGAATCGGAGGAAGAGGTCATGTGGGGTGCATTTTATGAGGAAAGATTTGGTGAAAGTGGAGAGTTTGGAGAGGAGTTGTAGACTAATTTTTTTTTTGATTTAGTTTTTGTGGTTTACACATGTGAGGAAAGGACTTCTATTTTTGGATACTTTTAAAGATAATAATAACAAAAAAAAATCAATATCACCGACCTTTTTTCTTTTTTGTCTTTCGTCAACTCTTCTATTCTCTGTTCAAATTTTGAAAATCGTGTAGCCAATTGAACCATGCTCAAAATAAATGAAATCATGTCACCATCATTCTCACCAAACAAGCGAGAAATAAAGCTTAATAATTTTGAACTTTCTAGCAATTCTTTTTTTAAAATATTCATAAATAAATATTTTATAAATCTGTAATAACATAGAGAACTAAGTTAGTTACCTTTAACAGTATTAATAACTTCGTTCAACATATTATAATTTTTATAAATCTCAATTTTATTAATTGTACTCGCAAAATCAATAAGAATTTTATTAGACGTTTTTCCATCATCCTCATTATCCTCGTCATCTTGTTTTTGTTCGGTGAAGATATCAATCAGTCTAATGACCGATGACATGTATATAATAGATACGCGTTTCAGACATTCACGATCGTAAATTATTGTAGGTCGTGATGTCTGTGATAACGAAGATGATTGTGAAGATGGCGGTGTATAAAAGAATTCGGTGTATTCGTCATATGAGGAGAACAGCATTTTATCCAGAATAAGTGGCGTAAGATTGGTCAGTAGATGTAAAGTGTACTGAGTTTGGGAGAACAGAACTGTGGATATCTAATTTGACGGTATTGAAAAAAATATTAATAATATAAAAAGGAAATTCCGTCATTATTTAACGTACCAACGAGATATCATTATCTGCGGATTTAGAAATCAACAATAAAATCTCGAGCACTCGTCTTACTGCCGTGATGCATTGTTCATCGTTTAGTAATAACATAGATAACTAAATAAAAAAAAATCAAGATATAAACTCATATAAAATTCAATTTCTATTAATTATTTAATCGATTAATTACTTGCTTTAATTATGTTTTCATAACTGAACAAATCATGAAAAATGTCGACAACTTGCTGATATAAAGTACTTAAAACTTCCTTTTCATCATCATCAACATTATTACCGATTTCATCACTATCGTCCTGCTCATCAATCTTGACTAATAGCAAAATATCTTTTATCTTCAGCATATCGACAAGTAATACAAGACTGGGAACAATTACAATGGAGTAATCAACAGCATCATCTTGTAGTCGTTTGTGATGATGATTTTCGGAATTTGCGGTGCTGGTGGTCATCTTTTGAAAAATCATTAGCATCAATCGTATTAAAAGAACAAAAAATTAGCATAGTATAAATATTTATCTGGATTACCTTTTCCCTTGTACTATTCAAAAATTTAATGAACTCTATAATCCATTTCCAAATATCTCGCATAAGAAGAATTTGTTTCGCCACATTTTCACCATCAATTCTTCCTCCTACATAACCTTTGTCTTTTACATTAAGTTGACTACGTAACCGTTTTCTATAATCTTTAAGAATTTGATGGTAGATTTCGAGAATCGCATTCACTGCCAAGTAATATCTAGGATGATTACTTTTGTTGCTGTCTTTTATGTTATTTGGATCATTAATCTCGTCAAAAAATCTCCAAAGTATTCGGGTAAACGAAGATAATAGTGAGGATAAGGTGTCTTTTTTCGTCTGATTTGTATTGTTTAATACAATTTTTGTTATTTATTAGACAAGAATTTTTTCAATTAGTTTTTTCTTTCTTTTATATAGATAATCATAAGAATACCTGATAATAATGTAAATCAGCCACAAAAATCCAGTCCAACAAAAGTTTGCGAGTGGCAAACACGATAAATTGATCTTGAAACAAAAGTATTCTCATCTGTAAATTACAAAATATATGCGTTCTTCGCTCAAAAAATTATTCATTCCTTACGTCAATTATATATAGTCCATACTTACCAAATCCTCGCGTCTTTTCTCCAATACTTCAAAAAGTAATTGATACGATTTCATCAAAAGAGAAGCATCAACGGAATCAGATGCTAAGTTACTAATTGTTCTATTATCACGTAAAGAAACAAGAAAGTAATCACGGTATCCTGTCACGAAGGCATTGAGTTTCGTGATATTTGTTAGGATTGCGCGTCGTTCTCGTCGATTCTGTTTGTCGATCGTTTCTGATGTTGTGATTTGGAAATCTGTAAAAAATGATGATGATTGGAAATTCTTTACAATCTTTCAAGAAATTGAGAATCAATATCAATAAGATTAAAATACATACTAATATTTCATTTTAATAATACCTCAAAAAACTCCAAAGCAGACTCGATATCTTTTTCGGCAAGTACTTTAAAAGAAACTTTCATTTGTGACTTTGAGACGAGATTTCACGTGATTAAATATTTCTATAAAGAATAAAAGCAAATATGTAAATGTAAATTTTATACCTTTAATAAATATCATATTTAATAATTGTAAAAAATTACTTTTTGTAATACAGTAGTAATGTTATTTATAAATATATTAAAAAGCTATTAAATAAATATAAAGACAATTATAATTTTTATATTTACTCATTGATTAAAACTTACAAAATAATATCTTCTTTATTTGCCTTATATTAAAAAAGAAATATTTTATTAAACACATCACTTCTTTATTTAATATATGATATTCAATTCAATTCTGTTAATATTTATAATTGTTTTTTATTTTTGAAATAGAACCATTATCCTCATAATCATATTATATAGTTTGAAGTTGCTGGATAAATATTATTGATCAATCTGGGATCAATAAAATCTAGGTAATGTCTAAAGCAAATTTTTTATTGAATCCCTTAAAGGGAATATACAGTTGTGAGATTATCGTTTATCTAATTATGAAAAAGAAGGAATTAGTATTCTGTGTATATGAATGACGTGAATTAGAAGATAAATTAATTATCCACGCGAGTGCAATACCAAAAAAATTATATCGTTTCACAAATTGATGATAAATTTGTTCAAAAGAGAAAACGCGAAAAATTGCATTTTTGATTTCTCATACTAACCAATTTATTTGATTTTTGTTGAAATACGTAATTACTCGAAGTTGACCATAACAAATAAAAGCTAATATGTATTAGGACACCTTTATGTAAGTCACCAGCTCGGGATTTTTAAATATTTATATTATTTCAAATAAAATATGTTTTCTCGGTCGGTTCATTTCGATATGTTTAGCAGTCAAAATATAAAGAGTGGAATTAAACGTGGTCATATTCTAAGCTATAGCAATGTTTTGTTGCATCTCGAGCAAAAAACTTTCCGCAAAGGGCTATCGACTAATTCGAATTTCAAAAGTCAAAACTTAGTATTTCGTGCATCAAGACCTGTTTTTTCGAGATCAGTTTTGAGAATTCCTAAAAGACATGAAACAAGTGGAGCAGCGCCTATTAATTCATTACCAGTTGGAAATAAAAAAACAGCAAAATTTAGGCTATTAACTGTGGTGGGGACTTCATTGGTTGGCAGCGTGATTCTCTTGATTTTAGATTATAGACGTAACCTAGTCGAAGCAGAAAAACATGAAATTAAAGAATTAATATCGTGTGGACCAACGGGTGGCCCGAAAAATTTGCCTATTGCACAGCATTTAACTGACGAAAAGGACTTTGAGGCTGATAAACCACGGCTATTGATCCTAGGTTCCGGTTGGGGGGTAAGCGAAAATATGATTCAATCAAGTTACGAATTTTGATAAACCGGGGAAGTGAATATGAAATTTTGTATTCGCTCTTTCTAAACAAATAGGCTGTATCAGTTTTGAAGGAACTTGAAAAAGATCAATACTATGTAACAGTAGTCTCTCCACAGTGAGTGATTTATAGAGTATTGTTTATTTCTTTTTCGCTGTTTTATCCTTTTTAATGCATCGAAATATTTAAATTTTTTTGAATAATTCAGGAATTATTTTTTGTAAGTGTTGTGACTTTTTTATTCGGAGGTGATTTTTTGTGGTCTTTATTTTCTAAACGATTAACGTAAGTATTCACTTAATTAAGGTTCACACCTCTTTTGCCCTCATCCTGCGTAGGAACACTTGAATCTAGGTAAACGTGGCATATTTCCCGATTTTGGATAGAGTTAAGATAAGAACTTGATAAGTTGATTTTAATTATATTACGTAATATTTCTCAATTATGGATCGGAAAACAGATCCTTACTGGAACCTATTCGTAGTATATTAAAGAGGATTCATGGACATTTTATAGAGGCAAAAGCCATAGATGTAGATTTTGAAAATAATCTAGTAGAAGTCAAACGAAGCGACGCGCCTGATAAATGCTTTTATGTTCCATATGATAAGGTTTCTTTGCTTTGAGCTACTTTTGCTCTAATTTGATTACTTTAAGTTGACATTATTATATTATTTACGTAATGTTATTTATCATATTATACCACCTATATACTTATATATATAATAGCTCATTATCGCTGTTGGATCGCAATCAATAACTCATGGGATCGAAGGGATAGAGCACTGTCACTTTCTAAAAACTATCAATGATGCCCGAAAACTTCGTAGAACTATTATGAATAATTTTGAAAAGGCGTCTTTACCAAGCACAACACCAGAAGAGAGAAAGAGACTTTTGAGTTTTGTTGTATGTGGTGGAGGTATTTACTTGAAATTTATTGTGGATTTTTTATTTCTCCACAGAAAAAGATTTTTACTAAGATTTTTTATATCTATTCGAATGACAAATAAATCATAACGATAAGGCCCAACTGGTTGGGAGACTTCTTATTATTACAATTGCATATTCGTCTTGTGTTTAAGCATTTACGCGTCCTTTATTAGGTGTCGAATTTGCTGGTGAACTATATGATTTTCTGACAGAGGATCTTTTTAGATATGTGAGTTGCGATTTCTCATCTAAATTGGTACTCGTATCAAATATGACGTTATTAACGTTGATTCAGTTCCCCATAGTTCTCCGAAAAGAAGTAAGGGTTTCAATCATCCAGAGCCAGGATCATATACTGAACACTTATGATGAGAGAATAAGTAAATTTGTTGAGGTAAATATATGCAAAAATCTTATGACAATTTCTTCCCAATATAATTATTAGCTGATAGTATTTTTTATTTGGACCTTCTGTTCAATTTAGAAAAAGTTCAGTCGCGATAAAATTAATTTAATCACAAATGCTCGAGTTTCCAAAATAAAAGAGGATTGTGTTGTATACAAATACCAAAAAACTGGAGAAGAAAAGGAACTTCCTTATGGATTAGTATTATGGTCAACTGGAATCGGTGATTATTGTATCTTTATGCTCTTAATTCATTCAGTTTATTTACTTATAAAATGAATTTAGCGATGAATCCGCTGACGAGAATGATATCAGAAAAAATTCCCGAACAAAAAAATACGCGTGCACTTGTTACCGACGCTCGATTGCGCTTAAAAGGTGTTCCAAACTCCACAGTCTATGCACTTGGGGATTGTGCAACTATTGAGAATCCAAATTTAGTTAAGCAATTGGTGCAGTTTTTCATTGATGCCGACGAGGATGAGAGCGGTTATTTAGATTATAAAGAATTTAAGGCGCTAGCCCTCAAGATTGCCAATCGATATCCAATTACATATAGCCATCTGAAAAAAGCTTCCGAACTCTTTAGGAAGTATGATAAAGACAAAAACGGTATTCTAGTCATCTAATTCAAGATTTTCGCGAATAATTTCTTAAATGTGACGATTTATTTTTTTTATCTACCATATAGATGAACTTGATCTTCAAGAGTTAAAAGAGATGTTTCAAGATATCGATAAAAAATTAACTTCGTTACCAGCTGTAAGTTTTACATTTTTCTTGGAGATTTTTTAAATCCAGATCTATAACTGTTAAATTTAACGAATAATATTATTAAGACTGCACAAGTAGCGCATCAACAAGGTAATAAATCCAAAGAAATTTGTATAATTAGCTTATATTAATATATTGTTACTTTTTCCATATCAGGAAAATATCTCGGCAAAAAATTAAATAAATTGGCACTTGCTGAGAAAACAAAAATAATTCAAACAAATAAAGCAGATGTAGACCATAAAAATCTTTCGCTTGATTTAGATGATGCGTATCCACCTTTCCACTATGCTCATCTGGGGTCGTTAGCGTATATTGGTAATGCCGCAGTGGCAGATTTTGGCATGGGATGGACATGGATGGGCGGCTTGACTGCTGTTTATTTATGGAAAAGTGTTTACTTAAGTGAGCAAGTCTCTTTTCGTACTCGAGCTTTACTCGCTTTGGACTGGACAAAGGTAATGATGTAATTTCCGGATGATATGGTTTTGTGTGGTTTTCATTAGTATTCTAATAATTATTTGGATCTAACTTTATTTAAGCGAGCCATTTTCGGAAGAGATATATCAAAGTTTTGATATATTGAGGTTACATACACATCAAGATTATCTGAAAGCTTATTGTAAAGTTTTCAATGTATTAATGCGAATAGAGCAATCAAATTAATCAAATTGTTAAAATCACGGGAAATTAGCCCAGATTTGCGATGATAATTGAATTTTAACTTTGTTAAAATGAACAACATTCTCCAAAAAATGAAGCTCGAAAAATTCGAAAAAGAGGTGAAAAAATATATCTATTCGGAAAACGATAATATTTAAGACTCATTCACATTCTGATAAACCTTTTCTTTAATAAGCTCCATGAATTAGAGGTAGTCAATAATGAGTTAATCACATTACGCTCAAATAGAGTAAATTTCAGTCACATATACAAAGATTCTTTTTCTTCAAAGTTTTATTTTAATATTATAATTAATATCATGATAGAAAATATACCATCAAAAAGTGGGAAATAGTAATATTTTTTTCCAAGTGGACAACAAATCTAATTTTACTGCTTCTAAAAAGAGTAAGTCGATTTTTTCGCAAATTTTTCAATGATATTAATTTGACTATTACTTTATCCCTTTAAAATAGGGGAGTACACACAATTGAAGAAAGATTTCGAAAAAATGAAGAGTGAATTCAAAAGTTAATAGTGCCAATATGTTCGTTGCTATTTCGCTTGAACCAGATGTTCAAACGTTCAGGAAATTCTTAACATATCGTGTACGGCCCATTAATAAAGTTTATAAATTGCATGTTTTGGGATGATTATCAGTGCGAATATCGTGCTTTCCCTTTCATTGAAATGGTCGATATTCTTGGTAGAAGACTTGCGCTTACATATGGAGTCTTTTTCCATACAAAAGCTCAGGGAGCATGAGAAAAAAAATATTTAAGATTATGCAAACATCTTACTCTACGACAATTTGTCTAAAGATTTTGGATATTTTTATAGATTATATATTTTCTTCTTTAAAGTTTAGAAGTTGTCTAAAAAATCAAAAGACAACCTTGAACTTAATTTAATTACTGGGGCGGGATCCTTGGAAATTGCGAAGATTTATAATTTCAAAGATGCATTAAACTGGAAAAAATGATAGCCACATTCCGAAAGTTCACTTCTCCAAGGAATTATCTCTAGAGAAAAGACATAATTCTTTGATCAAGAGAAAGAAATCCAGCAAATGTTATTATTCGAAAAGCAGCATTTATGACGTTTTCACAATAATTTATCGCAAAAAACGGTTAAAATCTATCGCTATGATTATGACGAAATTCTTTTGTGTAAATGAAAAGTACAGTAAAAAGATATTGCAAAGGTTGATTTCAGTACTTATTGATAGATTGCGGATTTTTAGTACATGTTCATGAGTTATATGTAACGTGATTATTTATGAAACAATCAATCGAAAATCTAACAGATCAAAAAAGCGATTATCAATTTGAAGCTCATTTTTGACAAGCAATACTTTATTAGCTAAAGATTTATTTCTTTCTATCGACATATAAGATATATTTTCATCATGTCTCAACCACGTCCACTCAATGACGACGAAGTCACCGCGGAAATGAATAAAATGGCAAGTTTATTAAACTTCTCATTCGTTGGAAATTTCAAAAACTCAACTTTTTTCATTTTCTTAGGTTGAGTTCATTAAACAAGAAGCCAAAGAAAAAGCTCGTGAAATACAATTGAAGGTATATCACGTCTAATCATCTTATACAAGTACCACATACATACGACTGTTTAAATTATTCTAGTTGTATTTTTTCAAATAGGCCGATGAAGAATTTAACATCGAGAAGGTAAGAAAAGAAACTTTTTTATATTTCAACCTAATCCTCATATACATTATGTGTATCAAAGGCAAAACTTGTACGTCAAGAATCAATCAACATCGAAGCCACCTTTCAACGTAAAATAAAGCAAGCTGAAGTGGAAAAGAAAATGTATGAATAACAATTTATTAATTAGACGTTTGAATAAATATCTATCTAATGACACAATTGTTAATTCTTATTCTAGTGAACAGTCAAATCTCATTAATAAATCGCGTCTCAGGGTACTTCAGGAACGCCAACAAAAATTGGAAAATCTGTTTACTGATTCTCGAGCCGCTCTCAAAGATATTTCGGAAGATAAAACCAGTTACCAAGATTTGTTGAAGAATTTGATATTAGAGGTAAAAAATTTTAGTGAGGATATTCTCTGATATTAATATTAATTGTATTAGTAAGCATTCAGTTATATTATCTAGGGTCTCTTTCGATTAATGGATGAAAATGTCAATATAGTTGCAAGGAAATCAGACATTGATCTAATAAATGCGGCCATAAAAGATGCAAGCAACGATTACACTAATCAGTCGAAATTACCAATCAATATTCAAGTTGATTCCAAAGAACATTTACCAGATTCAAGGTTAATCAATATATGTAAATTTTTTTATTTAATAATTTTACATTAATGTAATTATATATATATATCTATCCATATAGTGCTGGGGGTGTCATTCTGACGTCTTTTCATGGTCGTATAAGAATAAATAATACACTTGAGGAAAGGTTGTCTTTGGCTCAGGAAGAAGTAAGTTTTTTGGGGAATCATTTAGATGATGAAACACGATAAAACTAAAATATAATTTATTTTTTAGCTGCTTCCCGAAATTCGTATATTGCTTTTTGGTCATTCTCCAAACAGAAAATTCTTCAATTAAAAGATGAATGAATCATGATTATTTATTATTTGTTTATTTTTTAACATTATTGCATGTAATATTATAAATTAATCAATAACGATGGGTAAATAATTCAAAGATTTGGGATGGATAAATGATAGTCCATTATGTATGTATGATCTCTATTTTTAAAGCTAATATATAATATATTATATATTATACCTTTGGTAATTCATTCGTTAAATTAGTGATATCGACCACTTGTTCAATACCAGGGTAAGCAGGCAGATTTAATCCGAATTTTTTGCTGAATTCACTAAGTTTCAGTTAGAAGATTAAATATGATGAATCATTTGTCTATTCTTATAATTGAAAAAAAAATACAAATACTCACGGTGTGACAAATCGTCCTCCCAGGTAATGTATTCCTCTGAATTGCCGAGTACCCAGTTTTGGCGCAGTTAAAGAGATTAACATGGCTGGAGTAAAACTGCGATCATCAATATTTCCTTTCTCTACATCCCAGGCGGAAGGAATATCCACTAATTTATGATCATTTTGCATATTTATAAGTTTTTTCGAAAATGACGATGTAATCATTATAATTAACTAACCTGACGCGATTGGCACGCTAATTTCCTTAAGTAACTAATAATAATGTCATTTACAAATATTTTAAAAATATATATTTTTTTCTTCTATTCAATATATATAATGTTATAATTAATTACTTGAATTACTACTCCAAATGGGGAACGTATTTCACCAGAAAAACCGAACCCTAAATAAAATTTTGAGCAAGGAAAAAGGTTAGTTTGAAAAAATAATAAATCATTATTATTAATTACCGAATATAGCATCAAGAACCAAGTCCGCGTTATTCAATATTTGCTTATTTAATTCATTTACGAAAGGTATTTTGAGATTATTGCATTGAACCACTAAACGCTATTTTTTAATTGTACATGTGATTAAGTCGAAATTTTTATTTTTATTGAAAATGTAAATAGTAAATGCAAAATACTTCAGAACCTGATACAAGTCCTTTTTACTTTGTTTTGGATAGAAAATATTCGGTCTATATCCAAAATGGGATAAATGTCGTGCTGCTACAAGGCCTTTTATATTTGCATATAATTTGTCATTATCAGATTTAAAATAAGTATAAGATGAATAAAAACGCGAAATACACACCATCACCTCCATTATTTCCAGGTCCACAACAAATTAAAATACGTGAATATGATTCTTTTGAATAAACCTTGGAGATCGCTTGTGCGACACTAAGTCCCGCCAGTTCCATAAGCTTTTTCCAAAAATACTTATCAGAATGAAATTACTCAACACACGCACCTCTCTAATTAAATATACACATGTTACTTGATCTATCGAAAACCCCCCAGCCTGTGACATTAATTCTTCATCGATAATTTGCGCAACGCGTTGAGAAAGATACTGCAATTTTATGTAAGACACAGGGTAAGCTCTTATATTCTCGGATATCGTGAAAAGCAAAAAAACGATACCTTTATTGACATATTTAATCTATTAAATCGTAAAATGTTAAGAGTTACTCGCGTGCCAAAAGATGGTGTATTTTTTCACTCTAACATATTTAGACTAGAAAAGATCGGCATGTAGCATGTGAACGTGAATTTTGTTAGAAAATTCGGGTAACACAAGCCAATAAAAATGCGCAAATTCACTTAACGTGTCACTTGTTCCTGGAAGATCATCAACTGATTAGACCTTTTTGGACTGGAGAGAAAACAAACCACTTCAATTTTTGGCTGATATGTTCGTGAAATGTCTAAAAATAGAATAGTAATATCTTTTTGTACCTAGTAAATTGATCTACTTTCCCACCTCAAATGTTAATACCTCCGAATTAAAAATACGGATTTTTTAATAATATTAGTCAGGATATGCCCATGTTTGCAGTAAAATACTGCAAATAAGTCGGAACGTGAGGTGAAACAATCAAGATTCAGGAGACATATGATGTCTCAGTTGCGACGATGGGAAAAGTGGCTATCTTTAAAACACCCGGCAGAGTTAAACCGAAAATTACAAAACGTAATAATAATATCGCAACCGGCATAACTTCACTTTTTAGAGTCCGACACCAATATCTATGTTGGATCAAGCATCAACGCCAGACAATACACCAGCTTCACGCTTCGGAGATTGTAGAATAGGAATAATAACAGAACAAATGATATTGAGTTTGTGGCAGAGATTGACATAATTTGTTAAAGAAGTGAAGCGATTACAGGAACTTTTAGCACGAAAAGAAGAAAAAAAAAAGATTTAGAATACAAAAAGCTGAATTGGAACGTGTTATTGAAATTGATAATTAATATTTTTCGGTATTAATAATTTCCTGGCAGTGAACAAGATTCTCGTCATGTTTTGTTAAGAAATCCGATAATATAGATCATATTTTAATAAATCAAGAGCTTCAACCATTAAATAATACATATTTCGAATGCTGAATCCAAGGATGTGGCTAAAATATACTGAAAAAATATGAATGCCGTTTTCCATCAAAGGTTTGAAATTGTTAGTCGCGGGAATCATCAATAAATTTTTGCATTGAAATATAACACTCGAAACACTCGCACATTGTGCAAGACAATTCGCTCGATGTTAGCCACATAAATTTTGTGGATGTTTATAGAATATCCAACATTGTCCGTTCGTCTTCTAAGTTATTTTATCCTTACCACATTTAGCAGATTTGCTGCCTGTCTGTAAGTAATTTGAGTACTCAATATATTTTCTCTTGTTACTATTATTAATACTATCACGACTAGTAAACAAACGAAAAGATAAGAGAGCAGCGTCATAAAAGCCCTTTCTCTTCTGTTGACAATGTTGATGACCAACTCTTCTTTTATACCCTACTCTGTTCAGCATAGGTTCAATTATTGACTGGTCAACACTTGGTCAACTCATTCTCTTTAATATGATCGACAACCCGACAGACTTTCCAACCAACCACACAACCAGACATTAATTCACATTCTTTCGTTCGCCCTTATTTAATATTTACAATATTTAGAATATTTATATGTACAACCTCATTTCCCTCTCT